CCGTCCCTCCCTTCCCTCTTCCCTTCCTCCCTCTCTTCACCTTCCTTCCCCTCCTCCCCGCTTCCAGCTCTCCGTCCTCGTCAATTACGTGGAGATGGCTCGTGTCACGGGCGTGCCCATGGCCTTCCTCCTCACGCGCGGGCAGCAGATCAAGGTCTTCTCCATGTTGCTCAGAAAGTGCCGCCAGTCCGCCCTGCTCATTCCCAACCTGCCGAAGAACCGGTAGGCGGGGGGGGTCGAGGGAGGAAGACGGGAAGGGCGGGAGGCAGGAAGGGAGAAAGGAGTAAGCTCACGCGGGGGCCCGGGAAGAGGCGTCGGATGCGGGAGGAGAGAGGACACGATCCAGTGCCTCACGTCCTGCCCCCCCCCCCTTCCCTCCTTCCCCCCCCACAGGCAAGACGAGGGCACCTACGAGGGCGCCACCGTCATCGAGCCCAAGAAAGCCTTCTACCAGGACCCCATTGCCACCCTGGACTTCGCCTCTCTGTACCCCTCCATCATGCAGGCCTTTAACCTCTGCTACTCCACCCTCCTCTCCCGGGAGGAGAAACAGGCGCTTCCCCCTTCCTCCTACATCACCACGCCTTCCCAAGAATCCTTCGTCAAGCCCAGCGTCCGCAAAGGCATCCTGCCCCTCATTCTCGACGAGCTCCTGGCGGCCCGGAAGCGCGCCAAGAGGGACATGGCGGCGGCCACGGACCCGATGGAGAAGGCCGTCCAGAACGGGCGGCAGCTGGCCCTCAAGATCTCCGCCAACAGCGTCTACGGCTTCACAGGGGCCACGGTCGGGCAGCTCCCTTGCATCCCCATCGCCTCCTCCGTCACCTCCTACGGGAGAGACTTGCTGTATCAGACCAAGGCCTTCGTGGAAGAGCACTACACGATCGAGAAGGGTGGGTAGGGGGGCAAAGACGGGGAGCGAGGAGACCTTTTCTGCAAAGCCAAGGCATCCGTAGCAGTGCGACTCGCGCGTCTGCCGTCGCAGGCACCCTTCCAATCTCACTCACGACGTGAAACGGACCCATCCCCTCCTCCCTCGCCTTCCTCCTTCCCCCTCCCCCCCCCCTTCCTCGCCCAGGCTGTTCGGCCAACGCCGAGGTCGTGTACGGAGACACGGACTCGGTGATGGTCCGTTTCGGGGTCCCGACCGTGGAGGAGGCCATGCCCTTGGCGGAGCGGGCGGCGGAGGAGGTGGGCGAGGGAGGGCGGGGAAGGGTGGGCTAGGTGGGATGTGAAGGGCGCTCTCGGCGGGGGTCCCTGTGTGGCGCCCTCTCGGAGTCCTCCACGCCCGGGAGCCTGCCGCGCCGCAGCGCGCCTCACCGCTCGCCTTCACAGAGTTCTTTGTCAGTAATCTCGCCTTCGCCTCTCCCTTTCCGTTACCCTCAGGTGACCAAAATTTTCCCGCCCCCCATCAAGCTCGAGTTCGAGAAGGTCTACTTCCCCTACCTGCTCATGAACAAGAAGCGGTACGCCGGCCTCCTGTGGACCCGGCCCGACAAGTACGACAAGCTGGACACGAAGGGGCTCGAGACCGTCCGCCGCGACAACTGCCTCTTGGTCCGGCGGGTCATCGACACTTGCCTGCGGAAGATCCTGATCGACCGGGATGTCCCCGGCGCCATTGGCTACTGCAAGCACGTGATCGCCGAGCTCCTCCAGAACAAGATGGACATATCCCTCCTCGTCATCACCAAGGCTTTGGGCAAGTCTGCCGACGAAAGCGGGTACGCGGCCAAGCAGGCCCATGTGGAGCTGGCGATGCGTATGAAGAAGAGGTAGGTCTGGACCTGGGCGTCCTGGGGAGGGGCGCATTTTTTGAGGCAGGAGAGAATACCCGGATTTTTCAGGGTCCTTTCAGAAGAGTGTTGAGGAGATTATGGGGCAGCTTCGAGAGAAGGGAGGGCGCGGCGTGGGCGCAGAGGCTCTGACTCCTGCCCGCCTCACGCTTTCCGCCTTGCCGTGTCTGCCTCGCGACCCCCCCCCTAGGGACCCCGGGACCGCGCCCAACGTGGGTGACCGGGTGGCCTACGTCATCATCCAGGCAGGGAAAGGAGCCCCTGCCTACGAGCGGAGCGAGGACCCGGTGTACGTGCTTGAGAACAGGATCCCGATTGACACGGACTATTACCTGCAGAATCAGCTCAGTAACCCCCTCACGCGGCTGTTCGAGCCCATCATCGACAACCCGGGTAGGCGGGGAGGAAGGGAAGGAGGGAGGAAAGGAGGGAGGGAGAGTCGTTGCAAGGAAGAGATTGGGGGCATAGGAGGCCTCGGACGTGGCCTCTTCGCAAGCTTCGGTCGATCACGTGGCAAAGCCTGCCATGGGTGGGTGGTCCCTCCGCGTCCTCTTCCTGTGCCTCCGCTCCCCTCTCGCTCCCCCTCACTCCCCTCCCCTTCATCATCTCCCACAGAAAGCCTCCTTTCCGGAGACCACACGCGTTCGATCGCCCGTCCGACCCCAACGGCCAAGGCGGGGGGCATCATGATGTTTGCGGTCAAGAAGCTCAAATGCCTGGGCTGCAAGACTCCCATTCCCGAGACGGAGAAGTCGACGCTTTGCGTGCACTGCGCGCCTCGGGAGGCTGAGATCTACACGCAAAAAGCCTTGGAGGTGGCGGGCCATGAAGGTGTGTTCGCCAAGTTGTGGACGCAGTGCCAGCGTTGCCAGGGCTCCTTCCACCAGGATATCTTGTGTTCCAACCGGGACTGCCCCATATTCTACAAGCGGAAGAAGGTCCAGAAGGACCTGGCCGACGCCCAAGACGCGCTCGACAGGTTCGCGTTCTGACCCGGACGCTAAAAGCGGCATTCCGGCCGCTGGCTTGCATCGTGCGTCGAAACCTTGCGTCAATGCGTACGACTACGACTGCTTAAGGTTGTTCGCAGAAGCGCATGTCGGGTGAAAGAAAAATCGGCCGGGACATCTAAGAGCGTGGGAGGCAGCTTGTGGAGGAGCAGGGCGGAGGGTGGGTCCTATAAACTCGATGCGAGGAAACCACTATAGATGGAAGGATAATAGTCATGAAACAGGAGTGCGAGCTTTTTATGTAGGCGATTCATTTATTAGAGTGAAATGGCCTTGTTAGGGAGCTAGAAAAATTGTGCGAATGCACGAGTATCGGCGAACAGCAAATTTTCCAAGAAAGTGGTAATTCTAATTGTATGTGTATCGTGATAACACTAATTTCAAAGAATATTTTCCATTTCAAGCGCTGTGTTTATACGTTATTTATATGCTTTATCGTCCTGTACACCGACACTGGAGTACTCCTCCAGGTGCTTAGCGTTAATACGTAGGACTTCCAAAAGCCTTTCTAAAAAATTAAGAAACCTAATACCCAGTGCAGTTAAATAGATCAGCTCACAGATATTCAAAGGGCCAGCAAGGGGCTATTGGACAGAGTATATATATTTGTTCGCATTCATGCCAGCATGGCGGCCAACCTCCCCTCGTCGCAGAATGACACCTCGGCGAGCGCATTCATAACCTTTATTTGTAAGTCAAAATGGGAGAAGTTCAGTCATACTTGATGATACTAGCTCTATTTTGGACCGTCATCACTGAGGCGTATTTCGATTTAGGAGATCGTCAGTCTTGTTTTACATTACGCTTCCCTTTTTTTTCTGTGAAAGGAATCTTGTGAGCCGATAATCTTTCGTGTCAGGCGCTCATAAATGCACACTTAACAACAGCATGCTCCTGAACAGAAACAAGAAGTTAAATGCTGTATGATATTTATTTGAGACTGCGCCGTACGCCTTCGTAAAATCGTTATTTCACATCGTCCCCCTGGTACAGTAAATGAAGGGCGGTATTCTTGCATTCGCCTTGTGGGGCGTCATCTTTGCCCTGGTGCCCTTCGCCGTGGAATTTTTGACGCGAAAAAGTTTTCCTGTGCATACTACCGGCGCCATCCTCGTGACAGGTACGCGGAAACCGGTTTGAAAAGACGAATGCATGAAAAAGATCCATGCGGTCCTCGGTTTCTGATGTCTCATCATCTCTGTTCCCCCAGGCGCGTCTACTGGCATTGGCAATCACGCCGCCATACATCTTGCCACGCACTATCCTGATGTCACAGTGTACGCGGGCGTTCGAAAAGACGTCGATGCAGAGAATATTAAGGCGCTCCATCTTTCCAACCTCCTCCCCCTCCATATCGACACCACGGATCAAAGCTCCATGGACGCAGCCGTCGCTTTCCTCCACTCCACCTCCCTCCCGATCATCGGCCTCATCAATAACGCAGGCGTGAGTACCAACTCTCCCATTGAATTCCTTCCCATGGCCAAGCTCCGGCAGCTGTTGGAAACCAACGTGGTCGGCCCCACTTATCTGACGCAGCAGCTCATTCCCTCCCTCCGCGCTTCGCAAGGACGCGTGGTACAAATTTCATCCGTGCTGGGTAAAGTCACGTTGGCCACGAGAGGGGCATACTGTGCGTCCAAGCATGCCTTCGAGGCCCTCTCGGATGTGCTCCGCTTGGAACTCTCCGGCCCCTTCGGCGTCTCCGTCTCGGTGGTGGAACCCGCCTACGTCCGCACGGAGATCTTCGGGAAGATCCAGCAGGAGATTGAGACCCTCCTCTCCCCGGAGCTCCGGAGCTTGTACGGGCCATTTTTCTACCGGGAGGACCAGGCCGCGAGGAAAAAGGCGCAGATTGCCAAGGGCGATAGCCCCGTGGTCACGAGCACGGCCATTGAGCACGCCCTCTTCGCCGACTACCCCAAGACGCGCTATGTGGTCGCCAATTTTGCTGGCGTGAGGGCCGACCTTTGCCTATTCATCGCCTGGATGCTGCCGGACAGGCTGGCAGACTGGTTGAAAGGCATGATGTGAGGGGGGCGAGAGGACGGGAGCAAGGGGGGGGAAAGAGGGAGCCGTGCCATGGAAAGGTGTGGCGAAAAGAACTAGTCATTGCCCCACGAAGGTGGACAGAAGCATTTCTAACATTGTTTTATACAAGCTCGTGGCCGTGCAGAGTTTTACCACCTTTGTGCTCTCAGGGGCCTCGGGTGATCGCGCCCGTTCCCATGATTGGCAGTGACGCAATGGATGGCAATGTGCGGGTTGTGCGCGTCGGACGGAAGCACACTGCCATTACGGCGGGCCCAAAATGAACCGGAAAGGCGCCGCATGCCTTTTCCCCGGCAGCTACTCGCCCCCCCTTACTATGGACGCTCATAGCGCCCTTTCCACATATCGGTTCCTCCCTTCCCGCCTCAAGCTCTCGTCCCTCCTCTCTTGCCCCAATCACCTTCCCTCCTCACACACGGCTACGAATACCTGCCCATTGGGCTGGCGCACCACCAGGAAGCGAGAGGCGTGGTACTCGATCGCCGCCTTTGCGGGCCCCGTTTCTCCTGCCAAGGCCCATCGCAAAGCGGCGAGAGCGTCTTCTTCTCTCCTTTCGCTACTGTCGCTCTGCGTTTCACGTGGAGAGGCCGAAGACGAGGGAGGCTCAGATTGATCCTGTTGCGGCTGCTCCTCTTGTTGCTGTGCGGGTGGAGATGAGGGCTCGTCGTGAGGTTGAGCTTGCTGCTGCTGCTGCGGTTGTTCGCCTGCAAGCCGTTGTGGCTGTTGGCCCCGCAGGCTCTGGTCGGGAGAGAGCATTCCATTGGCGTCTTGGGACACCTGTCCCGCGCCTGTGGCTGCCAGGACCGGCGCTTGTGGCGGAATGGAGGGGGACGACGAGGAGGGCGAGGAGGAGGAGGAAGAAGAGGAAGAAGAGGAGGAGGAGGGGGACGAAGAGAAAAGGGGGGTAGAGGGGGCAGTGAAAGAAAAGGAGAGCCGCCCGGGCCGTCGATGTCGTCTATGGCGGGGCCTGGATGCGGCGATGGCGAGCAGCAAGTCCTGTTTGGAGAGGTGCTGGGGTGGTATTAGCAGGGGATGGGAAGGGGTGCCTGAAGCGGCGGAGAAGGACGAGGTTTCCGCCTTGTTCGGGTTTTTCGCGCCATGTTCTTCAATCCGGACGTCACAATCTAGGATTTTGGGCTGGTCTTCGTAGGCGTGGGCAGGGAAAGGAATCAGGTAGAGGGGGAGGGGACGACTTGGGCGCTTCCCTCGCTCCGCGTGGTCACGTTCGAGATAGAAAAAAGCGGCGATCAGGCGCGGGCGGAAGAGGAAGCCTACCATGAAGAGGAGGGTAAGCTCCAGGGTCTCGTTAACGACCAGCGTGACCCAGAGCTTGGAGTCGAGATCGGCGAGCGCGGTTAGGAAGGGCTCGAGGCACAAGGGGAGGCGCGCCTGCAAGAACGGCTCTTGAACGAGAATTTGCTGTAGGAGCGAGAGGGAGGAGAGAAGAAGCTCAATGCCGAAGAAGAGTGTCAAAAGGATACCCAACGTCTGATACATCCAATGTTTGAGGCGCATGATCTCCAAACGGTGGCGATGATACCGGGAAAGCGGGGGGGAGGATGAGGCGGAGGGGGCATGACCCCCTGCCGTGCTGAGGTGACGATGAATCTGTTCTTGAAGGCACCGACATTGTTCACAGATATTGTACATGACGTAGACATAAGCGCTTCCATACAGAAGGCCAGTGCAGAGCCAGAATATGGCGGGGGAGAGCACGAGCCGGCGGACGAGGAGGAGCATGGAGGAGGCCAGGTAGAAGGCACAGGCTTGCACCAAGAGGGTCTGCCACTCAGGGGCCTGAAAAGAGGCCCGAGTGATGCACCACCCCCTGGCAATCAGGACGATGCCGGTCAAGAGGCAGGTCTCGTAGAGGAGCTGGCAATTGAGGAGCGAAACGCCCAGCCAGAAAGAGCAGTACCCCCAGGTCACGCAGGTGCCCCAAAAGAGCACGGAGAGGAGCATCATGCTCACCTTGGCAAGTGGCACGCAGCCAAGGACCCGGCAGAGTCGAGACGCTGCCATCAGAGCCCTGCCCGAGCCCCGGCCTAGCCTGTGTGGATGGTGGTTGCTCCGGCGGCACGTGTGCTGAAGCCAAAGGAAGGATAGGGCCGTCCAGACGAGGAGAAGAAGGGAGTACAGGTAAGGCAGGGGTTCATAGTGGTCTTGGTCATCCTTAAGGGCAAAAAATCCTTCTTCTAATGCGCTGGTGCAATCTTTGGATTTCAGGTGCTCGCAGGAGAGGGAGATGCCGCAAATCGACTCCGCCTCCAGACAGACGGATCGGCAGACAGGAAGATGCGGCATGCCGACGCCTTCCTGGGGACATTCAGGAAAGACACTCGCACAGACAAATCGCTGCATAGCTTGCTGGCAAGGCCTTGCATCGCCGATCAAGGCCGGTGCCGAGGGCGAGGATACGTGCGGCCCGGGCAACTGCGGGGATGCCAGACATGTCTCCGACGTTGCGACGCTTCGCGGCATCCTCCGTCTTTCCTGTTCTTTTCGATCCGGACAGCTTTCGGAGGGATGATCTCCCCCGTTAAGTAAAGTCTTATATCGTTGTTGTGCGATATGGTCTTGCTCCGCATCCGTCAGCCTAGGACCGGCGCGAAAATCGGTATAATTTATGTGTGAATAGACTGTGGCAGCCTTCCACGAAACAATATTGGCGCAAAAGAATGCTGCCGTAGATGGAAGGACCCGAGCTTGGCCGCATGACAGCTCAAAAGCTTGTAGATTTTGTACGACGAGGACAAAGAAAAACAATGGGAGGGGAAAGGGGTTGACGAGGCTAAAGAATGGTCGCAGCGCAGGCAGCATCTCCCTTCCCCCCAGCTGTGTAGGTCTGTATTTTATGAGGATACTGTTGAATTGAAAAATGATCTATTATACTACCAGAGATACTTTTTAAAGAAAAGATAAAGCGCCACCGATGCTGGCGTAGCCTCATTTTCGTTTTGGAACAAGCCAGCGAGATACGTCCGTCTTCAACTGCGCTTTTCAAAATTTTGAACTAAGCCCGTCGCACTGCAAGCATTGTGTTCTTAATTAAAGCATACGTAAGAGGTAATATTAATTTGTATTTATTTGAAATTTTGATAATTACTATCCTTAAGAAGTTATTCAATAGTCTATGTCTTATCGCACAGACATGTCTGGTGAAGACCCTGCCTTTTCCGTTCATGGTCTAAATATGCAAGGGTTGCCTTACGAAATGCTAAAGCAGGTCACAGATGAGAATATTTCAGACATCCAAACCGTGATGTCTCAATTCTTACATACTTAACATGGGAGATATACATAAGGTGTAGTATGGGGATCTCAGAAATGTTGCGTGAGACATAGACCTGCGCTTTTTCGAATCTTTCGTCCATAGCTTCCCATCATATGTTCAAATAAGCAAAGGTCGTCCAAGTCTAAGCGTAGCGGGCACTATGGTGTAGTTGGTTATCACATCTCCTTGACGATGCTCATACCTCAGGTAGAGCACAATTCGGGATGGAGAAGGTCTCCAGTTCAAGTCTGGATAGTGTCACTTCGTGCATTATTTTTGGCCCTTCGTCTTTTAACATTCCAACCATTCCAAGGAGAAAATAAGAAAATTAATAGGGTACAAAAAGCAGAAATATGTTCTGTGGTGTTTTCTCCGCTGATGTTCATTTACACCCAAAATCCAGATAAAAAGGTGCGGCAGTACGCACCGGCGGAATCGAACCGCCGACCCCGTCCGTGTGAAGGACGTGTCATAACCAACTAGACCAGGCGCGCTTTCTCTCTTTTCCCCGTCATTTCTACGCCTATGAAGTACTTTTGATAGCAATACCCCTCGCCTAATGAAAAGCTAGGAATGGATGGGTTATAAAAAAATCTGCAATACATATGGGTACCAAATATCATGTAGGCACTGCAGATTGACATGATCCTAAGTGATCGGCACGAAATTTCTGTGAATAGTATCTAATAGTGTAACGTTCCGAACCTTCTTCCGCTGCTACACTCGCCCGTCTTGTTATTAAGAAATAAAATTCACGATCAAATCACTCTCCTTATTTCGAAATATCGTGTTGCTTTGAACTTACTATGCCGCCTTATCTATGCCCTGCACTCTCCTGGCGAAATCCACTCAATGCCACTTCTCGCCTTTCCTACCAAGCCTTTGGCGACTGACCCATCCTGCCAGCCAGATGCCGTAGGGAATCTCCCATTTTCGGAACTAGTGCCCGTGTGACTTCGGTCGAATCACGCCCATCACATGCCTTCATCGATGCTACAGTACCTTTGGCATGCTTTCTAGTATGGCCCACTGTAGGCTGGGCATGTGTTTTCTTCGCTCAGTACTGAGTCCGGGGGTGGCGGGCGCCGCGAGAAGCGGAAGACAGATCGGGAGATCCGTGGCGACTCGAGAGGAGGAATTACCTTTGGAGGGCTGGCACCTACCTTACAGTGTTCACGTCACCATTCACTTACATACCTCAGCAGGTTCAGCTCGCATGACCCACATATCTAACCAATAAGTGGCAGTCGTGGTATGGCGTCGTATATGCCTACGCGGCAGACTATTTCTTCCCTTGGTCAATTTGCCCCCAAGGAGGACGACCGAAGGAGAAAGCAGGTGCGTGGACGGAGCTCCAGTTGTTCCATATGACATGGTTTGGAACGTGAACGCATTTTAATCGAAAGCTTGTCAATTGCAAAGTCACGATACTTCTGCCTATGGAAAGTGGGCCTGATAATTTTAACGACCGCCCACCTACTTTCGTTTCCCTCTTTTTTAGGTCGCCACATCAGCTGGTTCAGAGGACGAATCTAGCTACGTTCCCTCCTTGCCCGGTGTCGACGCTTGCTCGATCAAGTGCAATCCTCAAGTGAATATTGCACAAGGAGAGATTGGAAAAACATCCGAAAAGGTGGGAAAGCTAGAGGACGAAGGCGAATTGGGCGCTCTGGCAACGGAGTCCCTTGCATTAGTCCGGCATAAGCATCGGCCCTTCAAACCACTGGGGTCACCCCCAGAGGAGGGCAATCACGAAACTAGTCATTTGAGGTGTACAACCTGCTCCTTGTTGCCTTCTGGCGTGCCACAGCCCCCTTGTAAAGGCAAGAGTCTCAGTCATTTGATCCCGGCGCCCCTCTCTCCATCGTCGCCGACACTGTCAACGACGCACGGCGACTCTGTTACACTGCAAGAACCTTTCCTGCCCGCGGACGTGCCGAATCCTGTTCCAGCGAATACATCCACGTCGAAGGACCCTGTCAGTGACGTTTGTGGCGTCTTGGTGGAAGGCCACGGAGGGCTGCTCTCGACAGACCTGGAACCCACCGCCTCCTTGCCTGGAGGGGCGGCGCATTTACCCGCCTCAGGGAAGAGACAAACTGTTGTTAGGATTAAGGACGCGGACACTGACTCGGAGAGCAGCAGCACCTGCAGCACCTGCAGCGGCAGCAGCGCAAGTGGACCACCGAGTCCGTCGCACGCACCTTCCCTCGCAAGTGAGGGTCTTAGCAGCCTGAGTACGACAACCACCGTTAGCGCAGCCTCCACTTCCTCGGACGTTTCCCCATCAGGACCTGCGCGTGGGAGGTTGGAGGTGACCAAGATGTTTTTGCCCCACGAGTCGTCGGAACTTGAAATGGATGAAGACAGGGATGTACGGCCCGACCCCGGCGCTGCCGCCGCAGCCGCCGCCCGGGCAACCGCGGCCAAGTTGCTCAAAATCCACCGCGACCTTACCCCATCTCCACCTTGCGCCGAGCATGTGCGGGTTCACCCGTTGAGCTTGCAGGAGCTTGCTTTGGTCGACGAGTCGCCGGCTCATCTGACGTCGCCACGCCTGTCCTCCCCCTTCACGCAGGGCCAGGTCCTTTCCTGCCGCACGGGGTTTGGGAAGGCGGGCCGTGGAAAGGCCTACAGAGGTCCGGCCCGGCAAGTGAAGGGTCCGCTGGTCTTGTACGGCGAGGACGTGCTGGCGGAGGCGGAACTCGTCTTGCCCCCCGGAGAAGACAGGGGAGGAGAGGGCCGGCCGCAGTGGGTGAGGGTGATGGGTGTATTTGACGGGCATGGGCTGCATGGCAAGGAAGCAGCGCGGATGGCGGCGGAGATGTTCTTGCGCGACATGCGGCGGACGACCATGCAGACCCTGGAGGCGCTCTTGGCGGGCGATGTGGGCGGAGTCCGGCGGGTGGAGGAGGAGCGGTACCGGTGCTTGGAAGAATACTTGGAGAAAGAACTGCAAAGCCCAACAGGAGGCACGACCGGGTCGACAGTCCAATTGCTTGCCTTGACCGGGAAGGTGTTTGGGGTGGTGAGCAATGTGGGGGACTCGCCAGTCCTGCTGGTGGAGACCCGCACGGGAAGGGTGCAGGTCTTGACGGGCCGGCACGCCTGGGACAACCCGGAGGAGCGGCAACGGTACTTGGCACGGTGCGCGCGCATGGGGGTGATGCCCAGAGAGGTGGTGTACGGGCGGATCAATTGTGGGGGTATGCGGATGACGGATAGGAACGGGACGCAGGAGCCCTTGCTCATGTACAAGCCTGGAAGCAGCGAGGTGTGTACGGAGACACGGGACTGGCTGTGCGAGCAGGTGGAGAAGCGATACCGGAATTCTATTGGAGGCAGCCAGAGCATCCGAAGGATGGTGCTCGAGCGCTTAAAGGCGGGGGAGGAGGAGGGCGGGGAGTGGGAGGTGTTCAAGGCGTTGGAGGGGCATGGACACATGAATTGGGGCGCAACAGTGCTTGTGAATGGGGAAGGAAAGATTCAGATGACGCGTTCGCTCGGCGATCGACAGGAGAAAAGAGCGGCTTACATATGGGCGGAGCCTGACGTGGCCGTCTTCGAGGTGGGGCCGGGGGAGGATTGGACGGTGGTGGCATGCTCGGACGGGGTGGGGGACATGTGGTATTTCCACGAGTTGGGTGCCCTGGCCACGGCCTTCTTTGCGAAGAAAGACGAGGCGGGGGGAGAGGGGGGAGAGGGAGGGGGAGGTCCAGGAGCTAGCGCAATTGATCTTGGAGGAGACGATCGAGCGCGGGGAGGTGACGCCAGGATACGGTGTGGCGCCGCGAGTCTTCAGCGTGGTGCGAGGGGAAGGACTGAAACGTCCCCTCTGGGACGATTTGAGCGTCCACTGTGCGCGCATTCAGACATAGACGCACATTTCCGGGGGTGGTATCTAGTACCCTACCTCCCACTAAAAGTGCGATTTTGAGTGGGGAAAGTAGGTTCATGTTGCTGTGGAGCATGTCGGGCTCTCTTAATTTGCGGGACAGATCTGTCTGGGACAGACGATGTCGGGGGGTTGGGGGGATGGGGGCGCGAACACCGATCCGGGGTTTGGGGTCCTTGGATTTTGGGGTCTCGCGGTTTCGGGGATTCGGGGGTACGGGGTGAATTTTCATGAAAGGGAAGGTTATGGTGAGACTGTAATGGGATCAGGCATGTCCCGAACAGGGAGGGAGTGCTCGGTCTCGTCGGTGCAGGGGCGCGGGACAGGTCACCATATCTCGATAAAAGGTGGGACTAGTATCGAAGAAATCAGGGATGCACATCCTGCCTTTGGGCGGCAGCAATGTGCAGTCTGTTCGGAGATACGGAACAGCCACAGCGTGCGCGGGACGGAGAAATACAATTGGAGTCGCACCATTGCTAGCTTACGGCGTTTCGTCTCGATCATAGGGCCGGCTGAGAAGCCTTCCCTCTCCCAGTCGCGGAACCGTCACGAACTATGGTCTGACTGAACTTTATGCGAAACAAAAGTAAAGCAGAATGGCAGTCGATGGCCACAGAAAATGGGAATATATCTTCGGGGTAAGCTTACATAGTGCGCGGTCGCTCTGTTTTCGATGTGTATGCGGTTCACATCTGTAAGGTATGGAAACAATGCATGTAGAAATTAGAAATGAAGCCGGCGATGTGAGGCGGAGACGAGTTGTGGGCAGTGGGACATGTCCATGGTCTTGTCAACGTCATATCTCTGTCACGGGCTCTATAGACAGGCAGGTAAAAAGGTCACAGACAGGCAAAGATAACGTCAAAGAATATGCGTAGAGAACAAAGCTAGATCTTCTGTGTCTTCCTTTCTTAAGATGAAGTTCCTTGTTTATTTCAGTTTGCTGGAAAAAGGTGCGGTAGGGATAACGCGTGGTGAAATTTTCGATGCCTAGACCGACGTTTATGGCCACGTAAGATACTGCTTCTGCCACAATGCAAATATGTAACGTATATGATTGGTAAACCACCGAGGCGTGGAACATCATTTTCGTCTTGTAGACTCCTATGCAAGCATAGTGTGCTAGTGACAGGTTGGTAGATCGTTGCCTGCTAGCCCTCGAGCGCGTCCGCCGGGCGACTTTACCCGTCAACTCAGCCGTTTGTAAGCCAAGACAACATCAATATACCACATGTTCTTTTGTGCGAAGAAATACATTACTATCCGAAGTTCAGAAATGTATCCATTTCTTCAACGGATCCCGGAAGACTTATTTAACCTCCCCCCCCACACTCTCGCACAGAGCTTAGTTGGCCCGCTTGTCGAATTGCTCACACAGAAAAGCATGCAGCCTCGAAACGCACCTCAAGGCACTACCTTCAAGACATTTTGTCTTTTATGGTTTTTGGCTGGGTCCGGGGCATTTCACGTTCAACCAAATGCACGATTTTCAGTTGTCCGAGATGACAGCGGCATTCTTGGCAGCAGCAGGAGGGGCACTCTGACGACCAGGAAGGCTACTGAAAAATCAGATCATGGAGGAAGTAATCCCTTTTTTGCCGCTCATCCCCCCTCCACAAAGTCCCGTCATGGGTTTCTGGGAGGACTCTTCTCAGCCGGTAAGTGCCAGCAACGCGTCAAAGTATTCCCCGTTGATGCTTTCAAAAGGTTCTTGGGTCCCTCTACCTTTGCGATCTTGAACAATTTATTTTTTTAATTAGATAATTCTATCTCTATTTGCTAATTTTCCTGTGGGATCGGGTGAGCATCCTTGTCGCTCGCACAAAAGCTCACAACTTACACAATCTTTCTCCTCCTAGGACTGCTGACCATCGGCACGTTTTCTCTTCAACCTGTATGGGCCCGTCCGGAAGGCGTCAACAAACCAGTACGTGTAGGGTAGATTTAGATACAAAAAGAGGGCCTTGAGGGCGTATGGCTTGGGGACACGCGGGTCCTTTCAACGTCTCCTCCCGAGCTCACCTCATTCATTCCTCCCCTCTTTCCTCCCTTTCCTCACATCGTTCCTGGCCAGGAGCTTCTCCCCAAAGAGCGGAGCAACGTCATTGACTTGGAGCGATTCCTAACCTCGGGTCAGAAGAAGCGTCTAAGCCAGCAATTGGATGCGCTGGAGAAGGACTCCGGCATCAAGGTCCGCCTCCTCTGCCAACGGTAAGCAGCGTAATACGCCATTTCCTGCCATTGTCGCATTTCTATCCCGTCGTCATCCCCTTCCCCCACCTAACCCCCTGCGCGTTGCCCTGCATGCCTCCCTAGCTACCCCGACACGCCGGGGCTGGCCATCAAGGACTACTGGGGGCTGGACGATAAAAGCATCGTGGTGGTCGCTGATAAGGGGCCAGCGAATATCAAGCAGGTGGCGACAAGAAACCTGCTCAATTTCAACGTGGGGAGCGGTTTGCAGCTCTTGCTTCCTCCAGGTACTAGAAACGTCATGCGCGGGGGGCGGGGTCCTCTGTGGTGGACATGAATCTCTCTTTTGCAGGAAAAGAACGACTTGCGAGCAAGATACTTGTGTGGCATGTGGTCAAAATGTATTTTTTGTGTGCTAAAAAGAAGGGCCCATGGAGCGCCTGTATGGGAGAACCAATTGCTCCTTGAGGGCATTTTGAACAGCAGTACTATCAGTAAATGATGCTGATTGGTTCTATTAGGATTCACGCTGACATTGCTCCCTATAATTTCTTCTTCTCTATCCATGCCTAGCGTTCTGGAACCGTCTCCGCTCTCAGTTTGGCTCCATCTTCTACCTGCGTAGCCACGGCGACGACGAAGCCATCATCGCCACGATCAACACGATCGATACGTGCATTCGCCTCAAGGGCTGTGTCGACGTCCCCAAAGGGGCGGCGGAAGAAGAGGGGGTATTCAGTTTCTTGAAGTAATGTGGTATAGGCGTTATGTCTCTCGTGGAGGTGGAGCTTGGTGTTGTGAAGCACGTGAAAAAATGAAGTGGTTCAATAGGAGTGGAACCTGAAGCGTGAAGCTCATCTTGGAGGAAACGATTGCAAACCAATAGAGATAACTACGATCGAGTACACGAGTAATGCAAAACAAGCTATGCTTTAACATTTTATGTTGTATCTCTATTTCTTATCTTTCAGTAGTGGTGGATCAGCGTGGTGCCTTTTAATGAATATTTGACGTCCCCTATGGAGCACAATGGCAAGATACATAGCAGAGAGGGCGTGCACCCACAGAAGGCATGTAAAAGGACGCCTGGGAATGAAATCCTTCCTTGGAAGAGGGTAAAACTTTGCGACGCGCGAGGACTCGCTGGCCATGCCTGCCGGCTTCAGCGAAGCTGTCTGAGTGCAACCGCAACCGAATGCTCCCAGGGCGGTTCAGAAGATGTGTCACATGTGTCCAAAAAGCAAGCCGTGCCACTGGACGTCAGCATGCATAATCTAAGATTCTTTAATGCTCTGTTGTAATTCACAACTCTTTTCGCTGGTTAAAGACAGCACAGGAGTATACATAAGCCGCCTCTGTCCTTCTTGCTGTGGTGCCGGGCCCTGGCTTGTGTGCGAGTTTTTTTTTTAAAAAAACTGATTGGCTTACTCCCCGTGCATTTCTTTTCTCACCACAGGACGGCAGACTTTTACGCGCTTGTAGCTTTTCCACCGCGAAGCAGAGGCGCTTTGCAAGCCATGAAGCAGTCGTGGGCGGCAATAGATCAAGACTGAACAAAGAGGCTCGATCCACAACGGAGTGACTTTACAGGAAAACGCAGAGAAAATGGCCAGTTCGCCTAAAAATCACAATGGTTTCCCTTTCCCAGCGCTACCCTTGGAGCTAACGCGGGTCTTTTTGTGCTTTTTGGACCTGCCTACGCTCCTCGCCCTAGCCTGCACCAGCACCGCCGCCCTCGGCCTCCTTGACCGAGAGGAAGGCTTGTGGAGGCTGTGGGCCGACCGATGGACGCCGCAATGCATGGACTTGGGCGATGGCAGCACTCAAATCCACGGCAGCGTCCACGAGTCCTCCATGCTGGCGGCAGCCGGACCCCCTTACCCTTGGTCCGCCCTCTTCCCTCCCGGCCACGAAGCCCTCTGCCTCCATCGCCCGCCCTGTCGGAGGAGCCTGGCCGCGTTCCACGCCGCCCGATCGAAGGTTCTAGAAAGCCACCTGGCACCCCTCTGGGAAGGCGGGGAAGGGGCAGGTGGGAAGTTGCAGCCATGCCTGGTGTCGCAGTACTTCCACGCCTACGACGTCCTCGTCACGCTGAGGGGGGAGGAGGCCGTTGACGCCATCCTCCACGCCCATCGCCGTCGCCTGCAGGAGTTGGTGCGCCACGCTTCCTCCGCCGCCTACTCCCACCCGCCCTCGCTCCTGAGTCCGCTCTCCGTCCTCCTCGCCCTCCACCTCCTCTACCGCGCCACCCCTTCTTCCTCCTCCTCCTCCTCCTCCTCCTCCTCCACCTGGCGCGGCCGCCTCCTCTCCTTCCTGGCCCAGGGTCCTTTCCAAGGCCTGGCCGTGGTGGCCTTCTGGACGATGGGAAGTCACAACCCCCAGAACGGCTTCCGTGCCCGCGACGTGCTCAAGTCCGAGAAACTGGACCTTCGGCGCATCGCCTGCCTGCTGAAGGGGAAGGGGAGGGAGGGCGGGAGGGAAAAGGCCCAATCCGAGGAGGAGAGGCACGGGGCCGCGGTGGAGCGGACGTTGGCCAAGCTCGAGTCCCTGCGGGGAATGATGCCGACGGTGACTCTGAGCCCGGCCGTGGTGTATGTAGGGGGGGTGGAGGCGGACAACAGCATGTGCGAGAACGCGGAGGGTTACTTTGCCCTGAGCTCGAGCCCGCCCCGGCGATAAAGATTATGGGGGGGGGGGCAATGAGGCTTCGAGTTCTCGTGGATGCACGCATGCGAGGAAGGGTGGGGGAGGGAGGGAAGGAGGAAGAGCGGGGGTGAGGGCGGGAGGGAGGGAGGAAGGGAGGGGAGGGAGGAGGAAGGCCACAGGTGACCCGTGTCTGGGTTTTCGAGGCGAACCTGATTGTGGTGCCGGCTGGGGCTGAGAGGCGTGCAATCTTACCCCTTCTCCCTTCCTCCCCCCCTCCTTCTCCTTCTCTCTTGCTGCCCACTGACTCTCGGAAGCGGGTGATAAGGATGGAAAGAATATTGAGGGGAAAATGTGTTTCATAGCGAGTGGTGATTTTCGGAATGTAGGCGGAATATATATACCCGACAAGCTGTCTATGTGTCAGAAAAGTGTTTATAATGGGGGGTGCTGGGAACATTTGAGGACTATTCGCATGCGTGTGTGCAACGCGTGCGAGTGCCGATGCCTTGGGGAGGCCTGGTGGCCCCTTATCTCAAATAAATGGTTTTAATTTGCCTGAAATGGAGGGTGTGAGGAAACGATCCTGAGTGCAATGCGCTTTCTTTACCCCTTCAGGCCTCCCCTCCCCCTGACTTCCCCCCTGTCCCTTTCTCTCTCACACTTTCTCCTTCTCCCCCCCTACTCCTCGCCATCGCACACCGCCATCCCCCCCTTCCCTCCCTCCCCCCCCTACATCATCATGCTTTCGTAACGCTGCACCCGGGCCACTGCCTCGTTCCCAATCTCCCTCCTCGCCTCCATCACCACCTCCACCAATGCCCGGGCCCTCTCCCGGACCTCCCGCAAGCGCTCCTCCCTCCCTCCC